AACTGAACAAAGTTTTAAAACTGAATAAAGACCCTGTCTTATGCAGTATATATATATATATATATATATATATATATATATATATAAATATATATACTATATACTATGTATATTAAAGTCACCTGATATATATATATCAGTTATATATCAACTGTAAAATTCAGTTGATATATATCAATTATATATCAAATATATATATATATATATATATATATATATATATATAAATATGTACACACACACACAAACACACACACACACATATGTATAAATAAAATGCTATTGTGATCAAAGAGGAACAAATTCTTTGTTGGGGGAAAGAATCTGTTCACAATCAGTTTGATCAAATGAGAAAGCTCTTTAGTAAAAGGTGTGGACTAAATGTTCTTCACAGGATTTTCTGGACAAGTCACTGAATTTCTATTCTATGTATTCTCTGTTACACTTATCTGTTCAAGTACAGTAAAACCACCTCTGCTGATCAGGTGGCTGAGAGTAGTGTGGAAGAGAAGGATGAGAAAGCCTGGATGTACATGGGAAAATTTCATTTCCGTGCATTTGGTGTCTACCTATATATCTATATGTTAATATTGGTATCTATATGAATATCTACATGTATATCTGTGTATGTATACCCATACCTATATTGATATCTGTTGAAGTTGACTATCATAATTTCAACTAGTACAGAGTCCTGAGTGATTTGCTTTGATAAATAGATAAGTGTGATTTAGATGTAAAAGAATACCTCTGAATTGCATGGGGGAACCTAAAATAAATAAGCATTGGTTTCTTATCAGTCATAATTACAGTATATGTGATGAACTGGTGAAACTCAATTTGTGTGAGTTTTAGGGCTCAGTAAGAGCACCATTCTGAGCCATACTGGAACCTCAGGGAAAAGGGAAAATCAGTATTATTGATATTTTTTATTGAAAGTTTTGACCTTTAGTTAACCGTAGATTTTGTTTTCATTATTTTGATTTTTAAAAACAATTGCACTAAATATTATTTACCTTAGTTATGAGATTTTTGGTGTCCTTTTAAATTTTGTACTGATTGGGAGTGCCTCACTGTCTTCATCCGAGTTCTAGCTCTAACTTTGACTAGACTTTAGGTAAAGGAGGTAGAAAACAGAGTGGCATTTTATTTGTGGAGAAACCGAGTCATAGGTTAGCTCATTTGACGTATTCATGTAGTGAGTAATCGAGAATCAGATGAGTAACTCCTCACTCCTGTTCTTTTATCAAATCAGTAAGTGATACTCCCTTGTTATATATTTACTAAGGTTTGACTCCTTTGGCTTAATTATCATTTCACATATTTGAATTAAAAATGAACGATTTCTAAATTTTTCAATATTGTCTCTGGTTTTTAAACAATTATAAAGCGAGCAAAATTTTCCTAATCGCTAGCAGTTGAGCCCTTTTCTTTGGTCTTCCAGGATTTTCTGGAAAGGAGAAGTACTCTATTGTAAAGCCAGGTAAGGAACTGATATTACACTGGAGTGGGGTTTTCTGCATAATTCTTTCAATTCTCTCAAAGAGATTAGGGACAAAATCTCTCTCTCTCTGTCTCTCTCTCTCTCTCTCTCTCTTTCTTTTTTCTTAGAGCTTTTCAGTTTGAAAGTGAGATAGAAGAGCCAGAGGATTATGAGAATTTCAGTGCATTGAAATGTTTGTTAAAACCATTGGAAGAACAGCACATCCTGGAACTATTATTGGCAAAGCAAATAGTGAGTGACATTCGGCGTTTATGCTGTTTGCTCTGTGATACTGCTGGAATGAGTTTATGTCACACACACAGGAGTTACCAAGAGGAGGCTCTTTCTGCGCTGGCCAATAGCTGTTTGTTGTTCAAATTATTACCATGGTAAAGTACAATCTTCATTATTGTACTCAGATCACTGTAAAGAGAGAAATCTACAAATGGGAAGATAATATTAATTTAGCCCAGCATTTTCCAAAATAATCTCTTGATAATAGCCATAGCAATAGTTGCTTGGGGAAATATTGGGAAATACTGCATACTAATGTCAATCTTGGAGATGAACATGCTCATTAGCATATTATAGGCTCTGAAAAATCCTGAAGGGGAAAGCAAAAATCTGTAGAGTTTGATTTAAACTAACTTTGCCCAAATTTTGTTATGAGACCTCTTAGTGTTGCTGTGAAACTAATTGCTTCAAAGCCTAGAGGCATAAGACAATAATCACTTAATATCTCCTAGAGTGTTCATGGGTCAGGAATCTGGGAAGGATTCACCTGGGTGCTTCTTCTGGCTTAGGGTCTTTCAAGCATTGTAGTTAGAAGGTGGCTGTCCTAAAACAGCAAGTGGCAAGACCCACTAGAGACTTGCTGGTCATCTCTCTTCCTGCCATATTAGAGCTTTTCCTTGTGGCTTCTTTATGTAGGCACATTGGGTTTCCTCACAGCATGGCTTTATCCGGGTAAGACTATTACATGGTAGCACAGAGTTCTGATGCCAGTATGGAAACTCACCAAGTAGAAACTGCCATGACTCTTATGTCATAATCTTGGAAGTTAGGCAGTGCTACTTTCATTATATTCTGTTATTACAAGCGGTCACAAGCCCACTCAGGTTTAAGAACAGGGGGATTCAAATCTACATCTTGTTGAGGGAGTACTAAAGTTCTAGAAGAACATGTAGGATGGGAAATAGTGTTATTAATACATCTTTGGAAAATGTGTTCTATCATCAAATGCTCTTTTTTAATTTAATATTGGTTCTATGAAACATACTTTGGGAATGTTGTTTTAGACCCTCATCAGAGCTGCCTCCAAATAGAAAGATGAACTGATCAAAAAAGATTTGTCTTTACAAATTCTAGAGACATCCATGTATGCAAGCCACAAAGGGATGATTTGGCTTGACTATATTAAAATATACCATTATTTTAAACTCTATAGCTTAGAAGTATACCAATTTAGATGTTCAGTTTTCATGGATCAGACAGAGTTAATGCTGTAACTCTTACATCAGTGCCAATGACTGAACCCAGGTTGTGTGGAGTCTCTTGGCATTTATATATCTAGACTGGAGGATATTTAGAAGTAATCCACTGCAATGCAGAATGACCCTGGAAAATCTTCACCAAGTGAGAGGAGTCTTTATGAAATTGAATGGCTTCTTGGTAGTGTAGCCATGTTTGGAGAGACTTATCAATAGCTTTTTATTTTTGAGATTATGGTTCAGTGTGATGAGGTGTCTTCATCTGGTACATAGTGTTAGAGGATACCTCCTGCTGAGTGACACTGTCCTCAAGTCAGCCTTTTGGATAAATTGTTTCCTTTCAATCCAACAATATCCTTCCTCTTCTCTAACAACCTAACTCATATTTTTTGCCCTCAGATTCAAAATAAGTTATTTTATCTGTTATTATCATTTATATAATGTCATGTACAGTATTTGTTTTCTGTAACATTTCTATAATTGCTTATTAGCTACATGACTGTTTTGTTCATTTAAAATATTTTATACATAGATGATCCTGTCATTTGTGAA